GGGAGCCTGCAGCCGGGAGCCATTAGTAGACCCTGGACCCGCTCCCGCTCCTCGCTGCCGGCGGGGAAGAGCAGCCGCTTTGTTTTATTAATTACCTGAGTCGGGGGGGATTAGTGGGGAGGAGAAGGACTTTGTTTGGAGCTGGCTTAGGCTATTGAGTGCAGCGCTGAGAAGCGGAGCGGTAATTCAGTGTGACAGGCCCAACGTGGGAAAGGTCCTGGGGACGTGAGCGGGTCCCCTAATGAAACCGGTGCCCAGTGGGGCCAGGCCAGCTCGGCCACGAGGAGACGGCAGCTAACGGCGTCCCACGTCATGGGGGAGAGGGGCTGCATCTTGCCGGCACCTCCTGCCCGGGGGGGGGGGGGGCAGCCTCCAGACCAGCATCCCTGTGTCCCAAAAATCTGCCCTTTTCCTCCCAAAGGTGAGTGTAACCTTCAGGTCGCAGCTGGGGAAACCGAGGCACAGCCAGACTAAGCGATCTGCTTGAGCTCCCGGGCAGAGGGATGCCAACCCAGGGCTCCCAACCCTACCACCACCTCCTATCGCCGGCAGCAAAGCCAAAAGCGGCCTCTCGCTTCGCCGGGGCTCTGGAGCGGAGCACAGAAATATTATTTAAAATCCGATTGTTCGGGAACAGCTTCCCTGCTCGGTGAGACGTGCCAGCGGGGTCCGCAGGCGTGCGGTGATGGTTGCTCTGTCCTGTAAGCCCTTGAACAAGTCGCTGCTGTTGGAGTATGGGCTGTCCCGCGGCCGGCACGCTCCGTCTCTCTACGTGTGACTTTGCATCTGGCTGCCTGATTAGTGCTGCTCGTGTTTCACGCTCGGGATTTTTCAAAAGTTGAACCTCACAACTTTGAAGCTGAGCATTTTACAGCCCAAATCAATACCAGATCTCAGACAAATTTACAGCTGACGGGGAATTTTCTGCTGTAACAGTTTTCCAGCAGAAACTCGGCTCCCACAGAAAGCAAAGTTTGCTACGGGAGCTTTGTGTTTTGCAGAAATATTTTGCTCTCCTTCGTTAACGAGCACACTACGCATCAGCTTCGCTTGGAAGATGCTGAGAGGAGACACTGCCGCTTGCTGGAGTGCCTCCAGCCATCGTGCTCCATGCAGAGCATGAGGCATCGACGGGTTTGTCTAATTAGGGACAAAGCTGACTGTTGAAGCATTATCATTTCCTTTAAATGAGTTTTGACTTGCTTAAGTCGGAGTGGTCCCAAAATGGTCCCGTGGGGACAATCGTATGAGCTACATGGAGGGACCCCCACATACAGACCAGTTTCCACCAAGGTGCTTTTAAATCTGATTATTCGCGCGTTGCTTTTTCCTTTTAACCCAGGAGCGGAGCTGGGGCTGGCCGGGCCAGCGCAGCCGGAGGAGCCACCGACCCAGCCCAGGTCCCGGCGGAGGAAGGAGAGGGGAATTGCTTTGGAAACGGTTTTGCGAGTGTAAATGTGCTGGTAACGATTAAGTCAACACATGTCTATGGTTAATGATCCCAGGCCTGCGGTCATTTTGGTGCTGCGCGAGTGGCCTGTGCAATCACCCCGGCAGCGACCCGAAAAGCCCAGCTCTCCCGCTGCAAGGGGACAAATCTCGGGTGCTCCTGGGCATGGCGGCCGAGCCCAGCACGTCTTCCCTGCCTTGGCCCTAGAGCTGAACTGGGCTGGCAGGCTGGTGTGACCCTACAAGCCCGGAGAGGGACCGCAACACACGGACTGGGTTTATACGGGGATCTTATCAGGGCAATTAAATAGCGTGTATTAGTGCAGCCGGGTGGACGGGCTGCTATAAACTTGCTCCTAGTCAATACAGTCGCTAAGCACAGCTACACCCCAAATTAAGGGGCGCATTACAGTGGGATTGACTGGCCAGAGACGACCCTGCGTCCCGGGCAGGCACTGCAGAGATGAATTTTGTGATATCCAAGTGCTCAGCGAGTGCCAGCAGCATCGTTCGCTCCCTGCAACCCCCTTGCGCCAGGCAGTGACTTGGGGGGCCCAGGCAAAGGCCGGATCTTGGGGTGCAGGAGGCATCGGCAGGGCTGGGGGGGGGGACAAC